CAAGGTGACGGTGGCCTGGGTCGCAAGCGCCCGAGGCTTGTGGGGCATGGACTCTGTCCTCCCCCGTCGCCGAGTGCGCCCCCCCGCTGCCGAGGACTCTCGTTCGGGAGGATCGGTAGCGGGCGGGGCTGCCCCGCCCCGCCCCGCGCGCGAGGTGCCGCGGTACCTCCCGCGGGTCGCCGAAGATCGGCCACCCGCAGTGCGCTGGCGTCACGTACCCTGTCCTCTCTCTCCTCCCTCGCTGCTCCTCTGCTGCTTCTGTTCCCCCCTCCTGCATGGTCCTCGACGTTGGCAGGCCTGGCCTGCCGCAGCGTGGTCCTCACTGTTCACGGACTATGGATAAGGATTATCGGTGTGCGCCCTGCGGTGGGAAAAAATCTTTCCTCCTCCTCCTCCTCCTCCTCCTCTCCCCCTCCTCACCGCCGTCCCACTGGATCAAATCGAGCCTTGAACTCGTCCGACAGCTTGACGGCGTCGAGCGTGTTAGGCAGCTTGGTCGTCTGACGCTCCTCGGCCTTGAACGTCGCGATCCCCTTCTCGATCGACGCGGTGGTGTAGATTTTGCTGGGGTCCTTCTTCGGCACGACCTGCTTGCCCTTCTGGAAGCCCATCCGGGCCAGCGCCGCCTCGTCGATGCCGCCGCTGCTGCCGAACTGCACGATCGCGCCCTTCTTCTCGTCGGCCTTCGGCGACTTGGGGATGTACGTCCATGGCAGGTGCGTCCACTGCGCCTGCGGGGAAATCGCGAACACGTCGTCGAGCATGGCCGAGGCGACCTCGTCGACCGACTTGTAGATGGTCCAGCCCTTCGCCTTCTTGCCGTGCACGTGCATGACCAATCGTATATGAAAGTCTCCGATCAGCTTGGCAACCTGATGGTTTCCGAGCTCAGGAACGGAGGACTCCAACCATGCTTTCCCCGACTTGATGTAAGATGCGGCACGGAGGCACTTTGCTTTCTTGGTGGCGGTCACGGCATCGCAGTCGGAACTCGTGAGGAGGCGGCTCATTCCATCCCTGGCGAATGCGTCTGGAGAGGCAAGCGTGGCCTTCAGCATGCCGACGACGTACTCGGGCCCTTGCTTGAAAAAGGAATCTTCGCCAGCATCTTGAAGCTTCTCCCCTCGACGTCCTTTGAGACCTTCCGCGTCTTTGCCCACGTCCCAAGGTCAGTCAAGAAATGTGGTGTATCTGACCCGCCAGAGTACTGTACAACATAGTCGAACATATCGCGCGCGTGGCCCGACAGGTTCGGGGACGTTTTCTCCACGGCAGTCGTGACCTCGGGGTCGGCAACACTGATTTTTGAAACCCATTGGGGAGGGCCCTGGGACCATAAATGGTTGTTGTAGGTGTCGTTATCTATGTACATGTGCGTCCGTATATACATATACATTGGATATATGTATTATCTGATACTATAACTTAATATATATATATATATATACATATATATATACTCTAATAATTGAGGGATAGATCTGTGTTCGTTGCTTGCTTACCTTAGATGTTTCAGAGTTCGGACCCACGTGGACCTTGCCCCAGTCGTTCCCCATGAACTTCGCACGCTGGTGGATGCGAAGGAGGGCCTGTGTTTTCGAACACACCTGCCCTGTACCATGTCCTGCATTCCCTGACTCCTGCAGGAAATGGGGCAGCATCGGGCATGCTGCCTCGACCTCGTGTCGGATGATGGTCCAGTCCATCCCGTTGTCGACGGCCTCCAAGTAGTTCGGAGCGATCTCGGACATTACGTCGCGAGATGCTTTGCCGCCTGTGCTGACCCCCGCTTGGTCCGACCTGGCGCCGAACCTGGGCCGAAGCAGACACCACTTCCAATTGGTATGGTTTACCCCCCCCCCCTCCGTTTTTGTATTATTAATGCTATATAATTATAAACGTACTCTTGAAATATTGTGGCATCTGGGTGCAAATCCTGGGAAGTACGGTGAATGTTTCTGCCGCCTCACTTGACGCAGCGAAGGCCAGCGACAGTGTGGCTGGACGTGACGCTCAGGTACCTCAGCGCGTTGATATCCTCCCACGGGGCCAAGTAACCCTCGGCCGAGTTGGCAAGCTGAACGTTGAATTGAAATTGAGCCTGTCGCTGATCGCCTGGCGGCATCTCGAACGCCCAGGCGTTGCGGACCTCCTCCCAAACCCAACCCTGGTTGCAGATCCGCTGGGCCAACATATGTACTTCCTCTACGTCGAGGCCAGTGCCATCTCTGTTGTGCATGTGGGTGCCCACGTTGTCGCACTGGCACTTGTTGACAAATGCAAGGCCCGCAACAATCAGCATCTTCACAATGCGCTCGGCCGCAGTGCGAATCTGATTGGCCTCGCCGCCCATGTAGGCCTGGATGATACCATTGATCTGCTCCGCCAAGTCTGTCAACACTATCATCGGGGCGGCCGTGCAAGGACGATTTCCCGAAACAAGAGGCTGGGAATCCTCGATAACCAGCGAATGCTTGGGCGCAAAATGCTCCAAACGGATGGGAGAAGAGTTGCTGTCCTGGTTGCTATCCTAGTTGCTATCCTGGTTGCTATCCTGGTTGCTATCCTGGTTAGGGAAAGTTGCGTATCTAGCTTTGCCAGCTTGTAACCAAGATGCATAAGTCCGCTATGTGCTACGGAAGTTCACGTATCTTGCTTGGCCTCGTTCCTCTAACCCTCGCTTAACCTCTTTCGGAATATAGCGTACTTACACAACCACTATATCATGTTAGGCGCTCGGTTATTATAGATACTGTGTATACAGCTCCTTTACTATGATTATAAGCAGCATATAAGAATGTTACAAGTGTGTTATATCTAGTTATAACCTCCAGAAGTAGATCATAACCAGCCCATCGATCCCAGAAGAAAGCCCAGATACGGCCCAGGAGGCTCCCCATGATAAGTCAAGAGGGCCTCGAGAGCGCCCCAAGAGAGCCCCAAGAGCGACTCAAGAGGGCCCGAAGAGTGCGACATTTCGAGGTCTCCGGCCTTAGAGGCTCTTAGGACGCCCCCAGAGGCCATCACGAGGCTTCCAAGAAGCCCTGTGAGGCTCCCAAGAGGCCCCCCGGAAGCCCCAATAGGCCTCCAAGGGAACCCCAGGGAAGCCCCTTGCGGGCCCCCGAGACACTTCGGTAAATCGTATTTCCCAGATGGCTTTCCTGGAACACGACTCCTTGGGCTTCCGCCCACCGCCCCCACCATGTTTCCAATAGGCTTGCCGACAAGGCCACAAGGCGCCCCTCGGTAAGCCCCCAGAGGCCCCCCCTCTCAGAGAGCCGAACAAATCATGCTCCCGGAAAGCTTCCCAGGAACCCAGGAACATGATTCTCTATCTCGGAGTAGGCCTGGGGGGGGGGGGTGCGGGCCGCTGCCTGTTCCACCCATCGGTGCCCACCAGGGGTTGCGGGGGGGGGGTCCAGAGCTCCCGAGGCGGCCCGAGCCCGCCCCGAAGCAGACCACGACAGGCTAAGGTGGTCCCGAGAGGACCCAAGACGGTCCCACGAGGCCCCGAAGACGCCCAAGATGCCCTCGAGACAGCCGACGAGGACTCCAACACGCTCCAGGACGGACTCAAGGGGCTCCCCAAGAGGGCCCTGGAAGGCAATATTCACTCGTTTCCGAGTGTTTTGGATTTTGGCGTTCTCGCTTTTCCCGCTTTCCAGCGCTCCCTCACGGCCTCGGAGGCCTTTCAGATCGCTCCGAGAAGGCCCACGAGGCCCCGACGAGGGCCCCAAGACGGCCCAGGATGCTCGCCAGACGACCCAAGTGTGCCCCAAGAGCGCGCCAAGAGAAGGCCCAGAGGGGTCCCGAGGCGGCCCGGGCCCGCCCCGAAGCAGGCCACTACAGGCTTCCGAGAGGGCCCTAGACTGTCCCAAGAGGCCCCGAAGACGCCCAAGCTGCCCTCAAGACGGCCGACGAGGACTCCAACACGCTCCAGGACGGACTCAAGAGGCTCCCCAAGAGGGCCCTGGGAGGCAAGATTCACGAATTGTCCGATGGTTTTTGAAGGATTTGGGCGTTCTCGCTTTCGCCGCTTCCCAGCGCTCCCTCACGGCCTCGCTCGGAGGCTCTTCAGATCGCTCCAAGACGGGCCCAGTGGCCCCGAAGAGGGCCCCAAGACGGCCCAGGAGGCTCCCCAGACAACCCAACTGTGCCCCAAGAGCTCCCCAAGAGAGGGCCCAGAGGGGGACCGCCAACCGATATTTCGAGGTCTCTGGCCCTAGAAGCCGCCTGTAGGCCCCAAGAGGCCACCAAGAGGCTCCCACGAAGCCCCGTGAGGCGCCCAAGAGGCCCCCAGGAATCCCCAAGAGACCCCCAAGGGGCTCCCAGGGAACGCCCAAGAGGCCCCCCAACACACCCTAAGAAATCATGTCCCCAGAAAACCTTCCGGGGACATGATTCATCATGGGCCCGAGAGTTCCCGGAGGCCCCCAAGGGGCCCCCAGGGAACGCACAAGAGACCCCCCAACACACCCCAACAAACCATGTCCCCAGAAAGCCTTCCGGGGACATGGTTCATCATGGGCCCGCGAGCCTCCAGAGGCTTCGAAGTACCATCATGCTACAGGAGAGCTGTTTGGGAAGTTGATTGGGAACATGACTGATCGCCTTCTCGCGGCCCTCCGCAGATCGTTTCGCACAAAGTTGCCCCAAGTGCCCTCTTCAATCGACGACGACGACGACGAAACGACGAAGACGACGACGACGACGACGACGACGACGGCGACGACGACGACGACGACGACGACGACGACGACGACGGCGCCCCAATAGGCGACGACGACATTACGACGACGACGACGACGACGACGACGACGACGACGACGACGACGACGGCACGCCCGTCCGTAGCCATTTTGGCTCAAGGCCATGGCGATCCCGACGACCGCGAGTCCTTCGGGCGCTGTCGAGCGCGAGGGACGCCGCGCCCTGGGCCAGCTTCTTGTTTCGTGTTTTCGATGCAGCGTGGCCAGGCGGAGCGCGCGGGGCCTGCAGCCATGTCGGGCGACGGAACTGGAGCGCCGCCAACCTGGAGGCGCAGGGTGTACTGGGTCTGCCTGTGCAAGGAGTGGAACTGGCGTGACAAGAGGGCGACCTGCAAGTCGTGCGGGAAGGAGGCGCCAGCGTGGGCGAAGCGCCTGCGCGCGGTGCACCTGCCCCAGGCCGACGGGGAGGGCTTCGTCCATCAGCCCAGGGGGCGTTCGCACCAGCGTGCAGCGCGCCGAGCTGGTGACGCCTCCAGGACAGCCTCGGCCGCCAGCACCGTGCCGAGCAGCGCGCCCAACAGCAGGGGGCGGCCGCGGGGCGGAGCCAAGCCGCCGCCTTGGCGTGAGGAGCGTGAGGAGCTGCCCGAGGAGCCCGCGTCGAGTCTGGGGCGCAGGTTCGAGGAAGCCCAGGCTCGCATCTCCAGCCTCCGCGAGGCTGTCGCCATGGAGGGGGCCAGCGAGGCCTTCCAGCGAGAGGCCAGGGCGGCCCTCCTCGCAGCGGAGGCCTCGGCCGAGAGGGCAGAGGCCGAGCTCCGCGAGGCCCAGCGGCTCGGGAGGCCCCCCACGCCGTCCTCCACGGAGGCGCCAACGCCATGCAGAAGGTCGAGAAGCAGATCACTGCAACCAGAGCCAAGCGTGAGCAGGCCGTGCAGCGAGCTGACTCCCTCAGGGGGAAGATTGCGGCGATGCAGGAAGAGCTGGCCGAGGCCGAGTCCGCGGTTGAGGACTTCGACAGCCAGCTCGGCAGGCTCGAGGAGTCGAAGGCTCAGACAGTCCAGCAGGCGCTCCAGCGGGCCATTGAGGTGTGCGGAGGCCAGCGGCCCCTCGAGACAGCGGTCGGGGGCCTCGTCACCCAGGTCAGCCAGCTGGGTGAGATGCTTGGCCGCAACTCGGATGGCGTCGCGCCCGGGCTCCTGGAAATCATGGACATTATCACCACGCAGAGCGCAGCCATCTCGGACATGCTCCACCCCGCTGCGCCTGCGGCCGCGGCATCGCGCTGGGCCGACGGCCTTGGCGGAGACGGACTCGCCGTCGACGACGAGGAAGGCCTCCCCGCCCCAGCCGCTGGAGCCTCTGCCCCCGCGGTGCAGCGGCCGCCAGCGGAGGCCGCAGGGCAGCAGGTGCGGCCAGGCCCGCCCACCCAGCGGGCGAGCCCAGCAGTGGGGCCCTACGGGCCAGCCGCCGCCCGCGGGCAGTCGGGCGCGGCGCTCGGCGCTTGGCCCCAGCCTGGCAAGGCCGAGCGCAGAATCCTTGAGGGTGCCAGGGACGAGCACGAGGATGGCCAGGCCTTGGCTTCCCTGGCAGCTGCTGGGGGCTACGCTCCTATGGGCCCTCGTCGCTCCTAGCCGCTCGGCAGCAGCGACAGCCTGGGGCCCCGCGCCGCCGCCGCCGCCGCCAGACTGGCCGACCTTGCACCAGACGCGAGAGGAGCCACGGCGGCAAGGCAGCCCCGCCCCCGGGCCGAGGTGCGGTCGGGACCGCCGAGGCGCCCCCCCGACGGCCTCGCGCGGGCAGACGGCGGGAGGATTCAGCCCTCCGACGTCGCAGCCGTCTGCCCCGCCCCTTGGGGGTCGCGGAGCCGCCGCTGGGTTCACGCCAGCCGCCCCTGAGGCGAGAGTGGGCGGGGCTGTGCCAGCTTGTGAGAGGGCTGCCGGGCAGCTCCGTGCAGGCGTCGGCGTGCTGGACATCTACGGCAACGCATGGGACCGTGCCATGGAGGCGGCCCCCGCCCACTCAGGGGGCGTCGTAGTACTTGCTCGTGAGGACCTTCAGGCGCGCGAAGCTCAGTGGCGAGTGCCGGGGGACTTCAAGCACCGCATGGTTGCCGAGGACCAGATCCACAAGGCTGGGCCTACGTCCGGCGTGATACGGGGGCGGACGGTTACTGGCGTGGCCGACGGAGAGTTGCGCGGTGGGCGTGTCACCGCGTGCCTCTGTGCGGGGCGGCTCCCCCGCGGCGCGGCCTTCGGCCTCGGGCTGCGGCGTGCGGAGCTCCGCAGGGGCCTCGACCTGGATCCGCTTGTGCTGATCACGGACCGCACGCCCCATATTCTTGCAGGGTGGTTGCGCTCGGGCGAGCTTCCCCTGCCGATTCTCAGGGGAGCGCTCGAGGCTGCAGCCTCGCGGCAGGCGTCAGCAGCCGTGCCCTGGGTGCACCGCAACTTCCCCGTGGATGCAGTTGTCCTCGCCCTGGGCAGGATCGGCTGGTACTTCAGGTCCGTGCGGTGCCTCATCACGGACGTCGGGGACGTGCTGGACTTGACGCTGATGGGGCTGCGTGAGCTCGGCCTGGAGGCCAGCCTTGGTGCGAGGCGCGCCTCGGATCGGCATGAGATGCGAAAGCTGGCCTGTGCCTCTTCTTTGTATGGTTCTTTCGTTTGGGGTGCTTTCAAGGAGCTCATCGGGCCAGGACGCAAGCTCAGCGAGCGCGAGAGGAACGGCATGGTCTCCCACCTCACGAACGCGCACTGGCACAGGAGGTTCGATTTCCCCATGCTTGCGGCCCAGCGGAGGGGCTCGGTCTCGCCAGTGCTGATGTGGAGCGCCGTGCGGGCTCGCGCCCTCGGAGAGGCAGCAGGGGAGGACGTTGCTCGGAGCTGGTTGTCAGCGCCGCCGCCTCCCCAAGGGCCTCGCACGGACGCCATGAGTGTCTGGTGGACATGCAGGCCGCCCGGCGTCAAGCACAATGGCAAGTTGTACGTGGACGGATCGTCGGTCGACCCGCAGTTCTGCGCCTTGGGACACGCGAGCTGGGCGATTGCTCAATGCGACGACGACGGCAGCCTCATCGCGGGCGTCTACGGGACCGTCAGGAGGGTCCTCCGTCCGCAGCAGGCGGCTCGCGGCGGTGAGGACTTTGCGGTCTGGAAGATGGTGCACTACGCGGGCCCTGCAGTCGAGGAGGTCCGCATCGACTGCTACGGCACGGCCGGGTGCCCGCGTTGGGGGCTGGCCTATGCGGCGTGCCCGACCAAGGCCAACGCCCACCTCTGGAGCAGGAGCCTCGCCGCCCCCGAGCCTGGCGGCTCCAGGGTGAACAAGGTTGCCGCCCGCGGCAGCAGGCAGGCGGTGCTCGACGGGCGACTCACGGAGGCGCAGAGGCGCAGCACCCCGCACGCTTGCCGCTCCGCCAAGCTGGGAGCACGGCTGCACGCCGAGGGCGCCCATACCGTGGGCGAACGCTGCGCCTTGGCGGGCTTCGCCCAGGAGCAGGCCCGCTGGGTGGGCCAGGCGGCGGTCTGCATGCAGCACTTCGCGGAGAAGGACAGTTGCAGCTTCCTCGAGTCCGACGAGAGGCGGCAGGTGCGGTTCGCCAACCAGGAGGAGCGGGCCGCGCTGCCCACTCCATGCAGGCCGACGGCGCAGCAGCCGCGAGTGGAGAGCGTCCGCTCGGTGGCCTGCGCGGGCGGCCTCTCCATCACCACGGCTGGCATCCGCTGCCGCTGCCACTCCCTGACACACGCGTGCTGCGGCGCAGGCGGGGAGTCCCAGGAGCTGGTGGCGCGCGGCAAGTGCGGCGCCTACATGGTCCTCGGCGGCCAATCTGGAGGCCGCCCAAAGCTCAAGGAACAGAGCATCGGCGAGAGGGCCACGGGGCAGCGCAGCCAGCGCCGCCCTCGGGCTCGAGGGCTACACCCAAGTGGTCAACCACGCGGAGGTGTTCAGCAGCGCAGGGAGAAAGGTGCTGGAGTCCCCGCGCTGAGGCTGCAGGGGCCGCTACCCCCAGCGGCCCATGAGGCCTTCCAGGCGAGGCTGGGCCTCGAGGGAGAGGAGGCGCCCCAGCAGCAGGTGGCAGCTCAGCGGCAGCAGCGTCGTGTGGTGCAGGCGGCTGAGGGCATTGGCCAGCAGCGAGGACGACGGCGGCAGTGCAGCAAGGGACGGCGGGCAGCGTCCCGCGGGCCGCCATGCTGGCCGAGTACGGCCTGGACGTGCTGGACCTCGCCGAGCGGGTGTTGCCCGCCTACGCCGCCGCGTAGGGCCGCCGCGTCCGCCCGCGGCGCGGCCGTGTGCTCGGGAGTGTAGGCTGCCCGCCTGGAGTTGCCTTCGTGGCCCCGCGAATCGAATCGAATCGACGACGGCACGCCCCGACAGGCTCCCCGAGACGCCCCAAACCCATGCTCCCAGAAGGCCTTCTGGGAACCCGATTCATACGGCCTCCGCCCCCCTACACAACCATTTTCCTCGAAGGCCTTTCGGAATGCAGATTGGCATGCGTGGACTGTGGTCCACTACTTCAGTGGAGCAGTGAATTCGTCAAGGCCTGGGGCCTGCTAGAACCTGAGCGCGCGCGAAGCGCGCGCGATGGTTCTAGTATATATATATATAGACATATAGATATGGAAATTGTTTGAGGGATCGACACGATATATGTATATGTATATATATACATATACATATATACACATGTACATATATACATATAGATACACATTGATAGATCTATGCGTGTGCATATATATATACACATACAAACATTAGGTTGAAGAAGCAAGTGGGGGTAGGTGGTGTTTATGTTCTCCGTGTTTTCTTTGCTGGCGGTAGGCGGGGCTCATTGCAAATCGACCGCCTCCCCCTTCCCCCCCGGCCTCGTAATCACCCGAAGGGTGGTCTGGTGGGTGGGCTCAGGGGGTGCGCGTCGTCTCTCAGTCGCCGCACTGATTGTCGATAACGGGCCAGAGGGCCCGCCCCTTCCTAGGCACGTCGCTATCGGGGGCCTATCGCCGATATACTGGCGATGTATCGCCGATTCCAGGTCGACGTTCTCCCCCCCCCCTGCCTGGGCCACTCCCCCCCGATCGTTTCCCCTTGAGAGGACTCCTCCTACCCCACCCTCCTCCTCCTCCTCCTCCTCCTCCTCTTCCTCCTCCCCCCCGCCCTCCTCCTCCTCCTCCTCCTCCTCCTCCTCCTCCCCTCCTCTTCCTCCTCTTCCTCCTCCTCCTTCCTCTTTCATCATCCTCAATTTTTTTACCGCACCCGCCTCCTCCTCCTCGTCCCCTCTCCTCCTCATCCTTCTCCTCCTTCTCCTTCTTTTTTCACTGCAACCCTCCTCCTCCTTCTCCTCCTCCTCCTCCGCCTCCGTCTCCTCGTCCTCCTCTTCTTCCGCCACCCTCACCATCCTCCTCCCCACCCTCCTTCTCCTCCCTCTCTCTCCTCCTCCTCCTCCCCCTCCTCCTCCCTCCCTCTCCCCACTATCTGCTCCCCTTATGCATAACCTCCCTCAGGCGTGGCCCCAGACTTGTCGGTAGGGCGGGCCTGGCGTTTCGCCTGAGACTTTGTCGCTTTATGGTCCTGAAACTTGAGCTTTTTCGCAGTGTCGCGAATCGAGGGCGGGTGGTTTTTCAAAGTGCGGCTTTCGTCTCAGCGCCGCGCATATTCGTCGCAGATATTTGCATGAGTTTCACGAATGGAGGGCGGGCCGTTTTTTTAATGAGGCTCTCGCCTCATTGCCGTACACATTCAACATTTGCAGCATTTTCGCGGATGGATGGTTGGTGGAGCGTGTTTCTTTATCGCTTTGGGCATAATGGGCATTATAGCGCCCCGGCCCCCCCACCTTTAACGTAACGCCCCATCTCCCCCAGTGCGCTCCGGGCACTGCCGCCGTGCGCATCGGGATCCCCATCGGCGTCCGCATAGGATTGCGCATAGGAGCCTGGTCCGCATTGGTAACCTCATGGGGATCCGCATAGGCATGCGCATGCGCATCTGCATAGGGATCCGCACGCCGCGTAAGGAGCGGCAGAGGATTTCGCATAGGAATTCGCATAGGGATTCGCATGGCACTGCGCAAGGGCATCCGCATCGGCATCCGCATCGGGATCCGCATAAGCATCCGCATAGGGATCTGCGCATGGATCCGCATAGGGATCTACTTTGGGATCCGCATAGGGATTCGCATAGGAACCCTTACTGGGATCCGCATAGGGATCCGAAACCGTGGTTTTGTTTTCCCGGTAAAAACTATTTTTCTTCCTTTTGCTCCTCCCTCTCCTCCTCTTCTTTCTCCTCCTTCTCCTCCTCTTCCTCCTTCTCCTTCTCATCCCCCTCGGAGGAAGGGGAGGATGAGGTGGAGGTGGCGGAGGAGGCAGGAGAGAAAAACGTCGCATTGCGTGGCGTTTAGTTGTCCGCAGCAGATCCTGACCTACATGCTCGTTCTACCTGTCCTGTGCACGCAGGCGCTGTGGTGTACACCAGCGCTGTGTGCATGCGGATGCTGTGGTGTAGACAGGCGCTGTGGTGTGCACAGGCGCTGCGGTGCATGCAAGCATTGTGGTGTACACAGGTGCTGTGTTGCACATGGTTGCTGCTGTGTTACACATTCGCTGTGGTGTACACCGGCGCTGTGGTGCACGCAAGCACTGTGGTGTACACAGGCGCTGCGTCGCACACGGCTGTTGCGGTGTACGCAGGCGCTGTGGTGTACACGCGCGCTGTGGTGCACGTAAGCATTGTGGTGTTGGTGTAGACAGGCGCTGTGGGGCAGGTCGCCACCTAAATGCTGCTCGCGTCGTCGTCGTCGTCGTGAACGTCGTCGTCGTCCTCGTCGTCGTCGTCGTCGTCGCACGTCGCTCGTCGCTCGTCGCTCGTCACTTATCGTCGTGGTGCGCGCGGGCGCGGCTGTGGTTCCGGAGCCACGCGGCGGGGGGGGGGCGTTTCATTATACCCCCCCCCGCCCCCCCTCCCCTTAGAATGCCCATTATTGTAACAAAGAAAAGAGCTGTGGCTCTCGCTTGGGCGCCACGCACAATCTGAAATGTTTGCAAGAGCATCACGGATGGAGGGCGGGCCGCTTTGAAATGTGGCGCTCGTTTTAGCGCCGCACGCATTCGTTTTAAAAGGCCGCGGGTTGAAGACATCATATCTTTGGATGTCTGGGAGACAAAGTGCGCCGCTGTTTGGGAGCCCTTCAGTGCTGCTTCTTTTGGTTTTGGTCCAACGGCCTGGCTCGGCAGTGGCGCGCTGCTGGGTTCCATCAGGTGTTCGACCATGTGCCCCTTGGTAAGCGCGACCATCCAGCTTTTGTGCCGAAAACTGCCAAGAACCACCGGAGACGGCCAGGAACCGCGCAGGGCCGCCAGATACCGCCGAAGACCACCAGATACCACCGGAAACAGTTGAAGACCCCTGGTGGAACGCCGAAGATTGCCGCGCGCCCAGGTCGGCGTGAGGGGCTTGCCCGCCGCGGTCGACGAGGACGCCCTTGGGGCATGACCTGCAAGGAGGAGGAAGGAGGAGGAGGAGGAGGAGGCGGAGGAGAAGGTGGATGCGGAGGAGGAGGAGGAGGAGGAGGAGGAGGAGGAGCAGGACTAGTGGACTAGTGGGCTGACGACAACGAACGTCGACACACGTGAATTACTGGCGGAGGTCTTCAAGATTGGCCTCTGTAACAATCTTGGGGGGGCCCTTCACACAAGGGTGAAGGCCTCTCCTTATCCTCGCCAGATTCTGCCTCCCCTTCGGGGTGGGTGCAACACACGGTTTGCAGAGGTGCCTGGGGTCTGTGGTGGCCGTAAGACCGCACATACTGCAAAAGACGAGTTTGAATTCCCCCCAGTACTGTAAGGCGTGGGACTCGTCTAAAACCTGCCCTCCCAGGACCCGTCGGCCGTTTAAGGCCGCGATTCCAGGGGGAGGGGCTCTGTTAGCACACACTGTCGGGGCTGCCGCGAAGAACCTCGAGCGGTTCACGAAAACCTTGCATTTGCGGCAGTAAAACTTCGTGCCGAGCCTTCTCCACTCGTGCTGTGAGGCTCTCATGGCCAGCTCGAGTCTCGGGATCCGAAGAGGAGGAGGAGGAGTGCTTTTCTATCGTCATGAGGCCATGAAAGCAGACGAGGGCACGTCGTATGCCGAGGTCTACAGGCGCATCGGCGATCACCTGCCGCCGAGGGGCTTCGCCCAGCGCCTTTTTGGGGCCAGAGACTACTGCCCGTACTTCTCCAAGATCGGTGCTCTCAGGGCTCAGGGGCGCACGGCCGACCGGGTAGTCGACAGTGCAGCTCATCGGGTAGGTTGCGGAACGAGGGCGACATCCCGGTGGGCCCCCCAGCGTGGCGGAGGAACAACGGCCTCCGGCCCTTGACTGAGGAGGGCGTTCCTGGCATTTTGCTGCCGCCCCCGATGCGCCTCTACCCGCGGGGCCACTTCGTGGCGCGCCGAGGCTGCGCCGACCGGCGGGTGTGCCGCTGGCGGTGGAGCCCAGCCGCGGGCGCAGGCCCGTGCTCCGCCCCCGCCGCCAGGCGCGCCGCCGTCGCAGACGCAGCCGTCGCCGCCGTCGCAGATGCAGCCGTCGCCCCGCGAGGCAGCTGGCGCTGCCCGCAGCGCGCGGCGTGCCGCCACCGCCGCTGGCGTCGCCGCGGGCGCGGACGCCGCCGCTTCCAGGTGCGCCCCCGAAGCGGACAGAGCCACAGGCACCTGGCGCGCCTCCCCCGCCGGCCAGGGCGTCGCCGTCGCAGACCAGACGCAGCCGCCGCCGCCCGGAGTGCCACCCGCGCATACTTCGTCTTCTCGGGCGAAGGGCGACAGCCAGACGCAATGGCCGGCGCCGCCGGCCTCGGGCCGCCTGAGGCCAGGCAGGGCGCGCCGCCCGAGCCTATGCCGGGATTTCAGTATGCTCGCACCGCTCGGATAAGGGGTGCAGCCCCCGGGTCCGCGACAGCCTTGGCCAAAGGACTGCCTGGCGGCTTCCGCCCCGAGCAGCAGGGCTGGCAGCAGGTGGCAGCTCAGAACTGCGCCTCGCCTCCTCCCCAGCGCGCTTGGGACGAGGGCGCAGTCGTGCAGGCCGCCGAAGACTGCCAGAGGCACGCCCCTCCTGGAATGCGGAATGCCGTCGGCTCCAGGTGACTGTCAGCGGAGCCGGCGAGGGGCCCCCATCCCCGCGGTTCATCAACGAGAGGGCGCGGGTGCGATTCAAGTCGGGGGTTAACGGGGCCCGGGACGCAGCGAACCTCCAGTCCAGGAGAAACAACAAGGACGG